CATTGTCAGCGTCAATGGTGTCATTGTTTACAAACAAGCGTCAACCCATGAGCCTTTGCGTTTTTAGCGTGTGTTGTTATCGTCGCTTGGAACTCAATTCCCGCGCGTATGCAGGTGACGACCCTCCCGCTTTAAAATTTGGTCGTATCTGTAAATTTTCTAAGTATGACGTACGCTGGAATGGTCATTTCCTAAGTACAATTAATAAAATTAAAACAAAATAAATTAAATGAGATTAATGATGCTAGAAAAAAAGGAAATAATAAAAATATTCCATATTTATTCTAGATTTTAACTTATTCGGAATGCTTTTCTTTAATAGCGGGTGTACTGGCTTATTGTGTATTTTATTGAATAAATATTGCCAGACTACGGATTAAGAAAGAAGCCCGAGATCAAAGGGTCACACGGAACAAAGAAGCGATACATTACACAGACCGTATACGTTCCGTCAAATTATTATTGTTCGTGCACTCAAATTATTAAATAGCCGCAAATGCCTTTATTAGCAGGTCTCCAAATTACTCGCGTCATGTCGTGTTAGAATTATAGGATGCATGTGACACGAGATTCTGAAAATTGCGATGAAGACAATTAGATATATGTGCGTTGACAGCTGTCGAGGCAATAAATAAACGTTGAACGCTCTGAGTAATTGTATAGGCCCGAGACTTTGGTGTAAACGCGGAGCTCCGTAGTTTGAGGCAAGTCTACCAATAGATGCTGAAAATATTACTTTTCTACCAAAATTAATTGAGTAAATTGTTTTACCTGGCTAAGGAGAAATACTCGTGATCGCATTCCCAGCGGTCTTGTATGCGTGTTGCACTGTAATTATTTCTCCGCATTGTAAATGGTGAGGTAATATTGCACAAGTCCTCTGTTTGGTGAGCGCTGTACCGGCCCCGATATGCATGTCAGTACATGAATTAGCGCCCACGCTTCGACAATATAATTGCACAGGTTGCGGCGATATTAGTAAACCGGTAAATTGTCACTGGTGTCATTAAACTTCATCGATATAC